ATATGAAAAAACCTTCTTGATACAATTTAAAATMGATCAAAAAATGTGATACTTACTAGTGATAATTTGTGCTTGAGTTATTGTTTTCATTACTCGTTTTGACTTTTAATCAATAGTCACTATCTTTGTCATTCTAACAGATTTGCATAGTTGATAAAATCWGTTGCTGTATATTCATGGAGTAAATCTGTCAGTTTGTCCTTCTGTACATGTGAGGTTGTGTGTACATTGTTACATTTCTAGCTCCTAATATTTACTTTAGAAGTTACTCTAAAGAGATATTTTAATAATACGAGGACTATATTTGTGCAGAGGTTTCTAATAACAATACGTGATACCTTCCTGAGCAGCTATTGTACACATGCAGCATAGGCAAGAAGAGAATATTGTAACGTTTTGGTGTTTTACCAAATCAATTAAATAACAATGTGATCATACAAAATAAAAACGCTACCTTGCTGCCCAGGAAACCTTAACCCTTATGACATCCCCAGGTAAATTGTCCAGAATGAGCAAAAATTATGGTCCATAATTACTCATGGTTTTCTAATAGGACTTTATTCATCCAGTGCCTGAACTATCTAGTTTCTAGAAGGAAAAATACCAAGACAAAACCCTTGTAGCATATCTGAGACCATCTTGTCTGGGACATTCTGTGTACTCTGAAAGTACAAAAATTGGACTTCAAAAATCTTATTAAAATGCCATTCACCTCAGATCTGATTAGCAGCATCAAGAGCTGAGAGGATGGGAATTAAATTCACCAAGGTACCTCTTACTCTTACATATTTTATCTTTCTGAAAGAAAACTTAGGCCAGTGGGTGACCTAGAATATTTATGCTTCATTCCAGGAAAAAAAAAAAATTACTCAGTGAGCTCACAAAGTGCAAACCTTTCAGAAGAGGTTTTTTTTCCATCTATACTGATTAAATTCTCCATGTAAATAAAGAATAACCTACTACATTCTGTGGAAATTTGCACTCCTTTTCAGTGGTAAGCCCTTTTTATTAAGCATATTATAATTTTTGTTGGAAGAAATAACTGACTAGCAATAGCTGTTCAGCCTTTATGAGCCACTCAAGGTACAGTAGATCTATTGTTACCTGTTCATTAGTCATCTCTTTTTCAGGCTGTTGAGTTTACATGTTTGTTTCTTGCATGGAAGCCCTTTCATACCTCTGAATAGCCATAGAGTCCTTTTCTAAAACTTTGTTCAATCTCTACTGTAGTCTTTCTCACTCAACAGGAGAGAGTATTTCCTACCAAGTAACTTTGTTTTTTTCTGACTGCTGTTACACACTGAAAAAAACGAAAAAGCTGATACATATAGGATGTTTGCATTTTGGTGCATGGACTCTATGAAACATGTCATATCATATTGAATATTGTTGAAATACTGGTCTTTGTTTAGCAAATGATGTTTTGAATTCCAGGAAATGACCTTGCAAAAATAGAAGTAAGAAAAGGAAATTCGCTTCTGTTAGGGAAAGAAAATGAAGGAAAGAAAGTGCAAACAAAGGGGAATGACAGAGGCTGAATCAGAGAAAGGTGGAGATTTTCACAGGAATGTGTGGAGTGTGGGTGGAAGGTGCTTGACAGTTTTTCAGTCTAGTGATGCCCACTTTCCAAAAGTTCAATAATCTCTTCAAATCTACCAGTTAATTAAAAATCTCAGAGGCCAACACCCTCTCTATTTGCTGTGTGTATTGCTACTGTGGTAGCAAACTACTACMGAGAAGCCCATGTTAAGATAACCCATGCTTCACTTGTGATTGGATTTGAACGTAGAGTGCTGTAGACAGCTGCTTGAATGCCCCCAGCTTTGAGTCTCTGCTTTTACCCTCCTCTCACTGGCTCTTCTGAGTGGTTCTCTGGATTGCCATTAAATTGTTCTTCCAAAGGGGCTGTTAGGATCTATGGATTTTCTCTTCATCGGGAAATGGTGATGGTGGTAGTCAGCAACAAAAGTAATGAGGCAGAAATGGAATTCCCTGTCAATGTGGATGCTTTCAGGTTAATGGGCTCAGTGTTGGAGGAGAGGGAGGAGGTAAGGTTTGGGACATCTAGTGTGCCTGGGAGTACATCACCCCAGAGAGCTCCCTGCAATCTCTGTCATGCACCAAATAATTTGTGATCATAGGGTATACTTTTACTTTGGGAATACTCTGGTCTGCATGTACTCAAACGCAAGACCTGTACAGACACAGTGACACCACCTGACAGGTCTTGATGTTGTAAGGAAGTACCTGGGACAGGTTGACTGACCTCCTGGTGACGTGAGTCCTTGGAAGGCAGGGGAGTGGCAGTGACCACCCTGTTCACAACAGCTGAGCAGCTAAAACCATCAGCCTTCTCAATGGACAGACATCCAAACCTAGGACTTTTCTATGAACTTGGGTTTGCYTGGGGCAGCAGTCACACCTGGGTTGTATTGCAAAGCACAGGTTGTCCATAAGTCTGAAAGTGTTTTCTGCCCTCTAGTGAAATGTGATAAATTCTGTGTTCTCATACCTTGTAATGTAGTGTCAATAGGCTTATTAATTATTGAAAGTAATAATTTGAAATATATTAAAAACTGTCTCACTGTGCCCATCATAGCAGGCTGGGGCATGTACTGGACCTTTCTCTTGGGTACCTTTATGTTTTCGCTGCATGCTGCAGGAACATTTTCCTCATGTGCAAATGTGTGTTTGGCATCTGCGTCTCTAGCATCAATTCAGGCTGTAACTGCAGGAGTGCTGGACGTGCCCCTCCRCAGAACCAGTGTTGCAAAATGTGGAACATGTATAATTTTCATAAGAAAGGTTGTTTTATGTTTGATTTTTGTATATATTCAAGCTTAATGAACAAGAACGGAAACTTAACCTGTGAAACCGAGAGCAGCTAACAAGCAAGGTCTAAGTGACGTCCAGGTCCAGACGTCCAGAAAAACAAATTACTTGTTGGTAGAATTGCCTTGTCAAGTTTTAGAGCTTAACCTGCTCCACTAACCTCAGATCAATGGGGAGGTTGGCAAAGCCTGGGAAGAAGGATGTCCACTGATACTGGTCACAAAGAATGCAGGATTAACAGGCCACAAGGACATTTAGCAGAATTCCTAAGATAAGGAAGAAACTAATAAAGACAGCTCAGCAACTCTACTGCAGCTCTGCTGGGTAAAAAGTAATTGTGACACCAACCCAAGAAACCAGACCCAAAAGAGAAACACTGATCAAGCAGGCTAATTAGCATGCTATCATTAACAATTTAGGATAGAGTTCTAATAAGAGAACCATGTAATTTGTAGCCAATTAATACTAGTACTAAAATGTATAAATATAAAAAGTTTTGATAGTTGGCGTGCTTGATTCGTGGAATACCACCGCAAACCCAGGCTTGCGCAACTCTGAGATAAATAATCAATGTCTCTCTCGAGTGTGTAAATACCGGCTTGTTGCACACCGGGCCACGAATGCGATTTTTATGGCGCCGGCAGGCCCCGAAAGCAAGGCAAGCCCGCCGACAGCAGCTC